GCGGACAGTACAGGAGATGACCAAGAGACTGCGGACAGTACAGGAGATGACCAGAGACTGCGGACAGTACAGGAGATGACCAGAGACTGCGGACACAGTACAGGAGATGACCAGAGACTGCGAACAGTACAGGGATGACCAGAGACTGTGGACAGTACAGGAGATGACTGCTGACCTTTGGGGAGGGGGGGAGCGGGTATCTGAATTTGACAGGTACCCGCTCTTACTTCCGCGGAGTTGTTCTTTGATCTTACCTATTCCTCTATCCAGCCACGCACTGTCTACCCGGCTTCTGTAGTGTGGGCGCTCGGCGGACAGCCGGATGCCCAGTGCGCATGCACGAGAAGCGCTGCGCTTTGTGATTGGTCCCGTGGCTTCTGGGATCTGTCATGTGTCCCAGGTACCGCCTTACCATTCACAAAGAGCACCGCTTCTTGCGCATGCGCACTTGGGACCCGGCTGTCACGCACACTACAGAAGACAGCGCGCCGCTGGATAGAGGAACATGTAAGGTCCCACTGCAGAGCTGAGTGGCCGGCCTGGTATTCTGACACGGCGGCGGTGGAAATACCGGACCGGCCACTCCATATTCGCTCCATAAGACGCACTGACATTTTCCCCCCTTTTTTTGGGGGAAAAAAGTGCATCTTATGGAGCGAAAAATACGGTATATATATATATATATATATATATACAGAGAGAGAGAAAACACATATTTTTTTTACAAATAATAATTTAATAAATGCATATGACTTTCAAAATCACTATAGGTTAGGCTGGACATAGTCGGATTGAAATCTGGCCAGTTCAGCAGGGACTGGACACATTTCCATTTGTGTGTGGCTGCCTCTGATCGACTTCTGTCAAACAGACAAGCTGGAAACATTTTCTCGAGTGCAGCTGCTGGTCAGTATATTCTGACAGCAGATGGAGTCCCACTGTCCAAATACAATTTCTCCATGGGGGGAAGATTACTCCTTTTTTTTGTTTGTGGATGTAGGAATCAGTTTTTTGAGGTGGTTTTTTTTTTTTTTTTTTTTTTTTTCAGCCCACAGTCTGAACACACAAGGACGAACTATTTTAGCCAGCTTGAGCAATAGCATGCAATGCCAAGCTGCGGAAAGTAAGGCTATCAAACTATTAGCATGCCTTAAAAAGGGTATTTACTCAACAGATAAAACTATATTTCTATCACTTTACAAAACTCTACTTAGGCCTCATCTTGAGTATACCGCCCAGTTTTGGTCACTGATTTTCAGGACGGATGTTCTTCAACTGGAGAGGATCCAGAAAAAGGGCAACAAAGTTATTACAAGGGCTGGAGGACCTTAGATATGATGAATGACAACATAAAATAAACATATTTTCTCGAAGAAAAGATGTTTAAGAGGCGATATGACCACAACATACAAATCTTTAAATGGTTATCTAGAATTGGGGGAACACTATTTAATCTTGGTCTCTAAAGAAGACATGTGACAAACACAAAATGAAGTTGTACGAGAAGTGGTCCAATCTTCACTAAAGGGTTCTTCACTATTGTGTAACCCTTCTACAGTTGGTGTTAGCCGGGAGTGTAGATAATTTCAAAAGTCTTTTGAAAAGAAACAATGTTTATTAGTAAACACAATGTACAGAGACACACACCCAGGTTGAATAGCATGGACTGGTGCCTTTAAACTATGTACCTTAAGGATTGGCACCTTTGGGAAGCAGGTACCCGAGTTTGACAGGTACCTGCTCTCATTTATGCTGCAATCACCTAAGGCGATCAGAAGCGGAAGTTGTCCTCCCTCCCCGTAGTTGTCTGGGACACGTGACAGGTCCCAGAAGACTACGGGACCATTCACAAAGTGCAGCACTTCTTGCGCATGTGCAGTGGGCACCCGCCTGTGAAGCTGTAAGCTGTCACAGCTGGGTTCCCACACTGAAGATGCCGGTGCTGGGGAGAGAAGACGGCCGGTGAAGCCAGCCGTGCTGAGGACACCGCTGGACGGAGAGACAGGTAAGTCTCTGTATTTTAAAATTCAGCAGCTTCAGTTTTTGTAGCTGCTGACTTTTATCTCTTTTTTTTTGCAACTGGAACTCTGCTTTAAGGTATGTTTTTTTTCACAACTGATGTGATAAGGTTTATCTTTCTCACTGAGCAGGGACGGACTGATCATTCGGGTACTCGGCACTGCCCGAGGGCCCAGGGTCAGTAGGGGCCCCATGAGATGCCCTTGGTACCTTTCATAGGCCTTTTTGGGTGTGGTTTGAGTGTGGGCGAAGACACAGGGGCCCCATGATCCCCTATTGCCCGGGGGCCCCATGAGTTGTCAGTCCGCCCCTGTCACTAAGTCATATTAATTTCTAATAATCAATAGCAATTTAGTAACATACTAACAAAAGGCATCATAGAAAATGCATGATAGAAATCAGTCAGAGACTGCTCTACCTTTTAACGTTCTGAACACCATAAACTTACTGGAAACCAGTCAGCTATTGATTTTTGTCTCTATCCCTTTTATAGGCTCCCCCCCCCCCCCCCTACTTTCTATCTGATAAAAACCCTTGTTAACAGGACAGGGAGTGAGAGAAAATCTCTCTAAAAAAGCCCCAGATAGCAATAAAAAGCAGACAATTATTCTGGTCTTTCCCCACTTATACTAAACTAGAAAAATACATTTTTGGTTTGATATTCACTTTAATCTTCACAAAATCAATATATTTTGACCGTTCTGATAACATTTTCCATTAACCTAATGTGTGACTGTACAATAGAAGCTGGTCTCATTGTGTATTTGAAGCTTTTGAGAATGACTGTCACTTTTCAGGAAAACGCCCCCCTAATCTGACCTTTTATGTAAATCCCTTTATAGAATAACCAGTTTAACTTAATCCCCTCATTTAAGTAGGTTTTGTATTAAAAGCTCTTGTGCACCAATGATAGATTCCCGTAAAATATTACCTTAATCTGATCCTGTATGTAAAACACTTTACAAGATAATTAGTTTCACATTTAACAAATCAGTAAATATGAATAAAAACGTTCAAATCATTAAGCTGAACTGCAGGCAGATCTAAAAAAATGAAATGAATGCAACTATGTATTCTTTGACACATCATTGAGCCCTGGTTCACACTAATGCGGTGTGGGAAATGCAATGAATCCTGTGTGTTTCCTGCCCTGCTTTGCAATAGCACGGCTTCCATGCGATCTGGTACGGGTGTCAATGTTAAATTAATGGCACCCAGAAATAGATTTCAAAACGCAGTGCGATTACCAGAATTCGCATTGCATGGATGTGAACACCCATGGGATGTGAATCAGGTGTGGGAAAAAAAAGGGTCCTGCACCTTTTTGGTGTGAATGTGATGCGATTTGAGCCATACAAAATGTATGGCTGAAATCGCATCGCACAAACATCGTATGGGATTTGCCCAGGAATGCGGTGCAGTTCCTGTGTGAATCACATGCCATGTGCCGCACCGCATTAGTGTGAACCAGGGCTAAATATATTTGTTTAGTGCAAGCTGTGTAAGTACCTGAATTTGACTTGGTTTCAGCGTATTGCAGTTCTTGCAGTAGAGCTCAGACTACGGAAGGGGAAAGCAGCACATGCAGTAGAGCAGATATGCTGCAGTGCCCGGAGCATGCTGATAGTAGGAGAGAGCAGAGTGGGTGAGAATGAAGCTCATCAGCCTGTCGTTTCTTCTTTAGCTGGCCATACAGTATACAATTTTCTTGAGAATTTTGCTTTAGATTTAGCAAAAAACAATAATACGTGGTCCAGGGGTGGACTGACAACTCATGGGGCCCCCGGGCAATAAGGGATCATGGGGCCCGTGTGTCCTTGCCCACACTCAAACCACACCCAAAAAAGCCTATAAAAAGGTACCAGGGGCATCTTATGGGGCCCCTACTGACCCCGGGCACTCGGGCAGTACCCGAGTGCTCGAATGGTCAGTCCGCCCCTGACGAGGTCAAACCTAAACAACACTTTCAATTGTATCCAATTAGGCGGGCCCTTGCACTACATAGTTGAAGGAAAATCTAAAGGAAATTGGGCAGAAAATTGTATAATGTATGGCCAGCCTTACACTCTTTGGTAGTAGACTGGGGGTGAGCAGGAGACCTGCAATTGTTTCTTAAAGTGGAACTTCACTCTGTCAGTCAATATTGTCAGTTTTAAATCCTTATGCTGTTAGCATTAGTAAATAGATAGAAATATATAATATCTACTTGTTTTAACCTTTTTAATACCTTTTTTCAGTTACTTCTTGGTTTCCATTCCTAGGCAAATGATGTCATAAATCCCAGGAGTCTTCATGAGAGAAGGACGGGCTTTCTCAGGTAAGCACACCATGCTTCCTGCATGCCTGAGCTAAGGGCAGATGGATTCCAGGAAGTAAATGCTAAATTAATCATCTGGTCTTACTCAAGATGGCCACAGCCAGAGATGCTAAGGGGGTGTCTTTCAAAATTATTTCTCAGTAAAATAAAGCATGGAGACATGGATGGATGGGTTTGAGTTTACTTTAACCTCCCTAGCGGTATGATTATGTCCATATTTCTGTGCTCAAAGCGGTACATTTTTTTCCATGGAAATATGTATTTTTTTTATTGTAGGCCTGTAATTTTAGGAATAACTTACTGAAATCTGTCCGAACAAGAGTCTAGTAAACATCCCGGGTATGATAAAACTTGAAACACGAAATCATAAATTACAATTGAATAAATAATCATAAAAAATAATAATATAATAATAATAAATTGAATTCAATAATATAATCAAACCAAAAACACTGAAATTTGAAATATAGTGCCAAGTTCGCACATCACTGAGCAAAGTCGCAAAATCGTTTTCAGTGTCTGATGACGAATTTCCCTACGAATCATTATCACTCAATTCTGCAAGTGGTTCTGATTTACTATCGCTGTTCTCTAGCTGGTCTAAAACCGCTTTTGACGTAAAGGGACGCTTTTTGGACGCCATGGACGTTTCTTAGTTTCCAGGCAGAAAGAACAGTAAAAATGCAGGCAGTGCACAGGACAAAGCACTCGGGACAAAAAATGTATGTGAAATGGTTTGATACAGTAATGTTGTACTATGTGATTTTAGTGAATTTAATGAATGTCACGTTTTGTCAAATTTCCCGCCGTTCCTCCCTCGTATGTCCTAATGCTCGCAGGGGACGGAAACCAGATGACAGATGCCGGCATCCGCCGAAGGACATTACAGGGGACACTGCCGGGGGGACATCGCGGGAACGCAGGGACAAGGTAAGTGATCGAGGGATCTCGGAGCAGCGCCGCATGGTAAGCCCGAGTGTAGCTCGGGGTTACCGCTTGTGGTACTGAAACTTTACCCCGAGCTACACTTGGGAATACCGCCAGGGAGGTTAAAGATTCAAAATGATTTAAATAGCATTTTTGGTTTGTGGTGCTCAAATGCAGTGTATTCCTCTTTAACTACAAAATAGAAACATCAAGTGTCCTGTTCTGTCAGACAAAGCTGTTCTGTGTTGCAGAGTCACATAAATCTTAGTACTTGTACTTAGTACTCATTTGGCAGCCAAACAGCTGAAAATAAAAAGCCAAAGAAACTGCCTTGTGTGAAAACTCAAACTTCAGAATTGATTAATGTGTAGCATAGATTACAAGAAGCAGCAGCTCTACTATGACATATTTATCATAGTGAATCTATTATTTCACTATATCACGCTGCTCTGAAAAAATCATCCCAAAACAATCCAGGTGCATACTTAAAGTGATACTGAAGCTCTGTTTTTTCTCTAAAATAACAAACATGTCATACTTACATGTTCTGTGCAGTAGTTTTGCATGCAGCTGCCCTGATCCTCTTCTTTTTGGGTCCCCCAGCAATTCTCCAGGCTGCTCCCCCTCAAGCAGTACCACAGAAAGCTGCTTGCCCTGGGGGCACTACTGTGTGCTCACTCCTGAGCCACTCTTCTATGCATCCATAAGACACATAGAGCGCATACGCGACCAGAGTTGATAACGGTCAAATAGCCTAAGAGCTCCACTAATCCCTGGCCTTCCCGGCTCTCCTGGTCTGCAACATAAGCTGTGACACATACCAGGCGAGCCATATCAGCTCCGCACCCGGGAGAAAATATGGGGAAGATTGGGCGCTGGAAGCCCCCCTTCCCGCCCCTGCAAGATCCGCGGCCTTCACCTCTTCAACGGTTTCTCTCTAGGCCGCAATCCCTGGCCTCGAGTACCGCCATGAGTCTGAGGAAGGGCTCTGGACCCCCAGTGGCGACGAGCTGTACTGCGGCTCCCTTCTATATGGAGCAACAGACATCCCAAACTCCTGCACATCCCCAGATGGAGGATTCCGAGCCCCTGGCAATGGCAGGGGGAGCAATAGACCTCCCTTCTCCAGGGCATCATTCTCCACCATCATCCTCTGCCCCTATATCTCAGCAGGCATCATCTTTTCTCACAGTATCTGCGCTAAGCAACAAATTGCAAGTATTTCTACGCAACATCACTGCTTCTATATCTGCTGAAGTTGTAAAATTGGCTTTGGATCTTAGAGGAGAAATAGCCCAGATCTGAGATCGTGCTGATCAATTAGAGAATAAGTTTGATGAATTGGTGTATTACATTCATGTTTTGGAGGAAGACAACACGTATCTGAAGCATCCCATGTCCCAAATGCAACTCCAACAAGAAGACTTGGAAAACAGGGAACGCCGCCAGAACATCCATATTTGCAGTATGTCCGAATCAATTGTTGATTCTCAACTCCACCGACATCTATTGTCCTTCTTCATCACAACCACCCCGATGGTTACAGAAGCGGATTGGCAGCTGGATAGGGCTCACCGCTCTCTGGGCCCGAAACATGTTGAAGGCACAAGACCATGCAATGTCATAGTCCGCTTCCATTTTTTTGAAAGCAAAGAAGCCTTGTTATCTACAGTCAGCAGTAAACCTTCCTCGGAATTTAAAGAAAACAGACTCCAGCTCTTCTGTGATCTATCTCCGATTACCCTGGCCAAACGGCGGGCACTGAAACCGATCACCACACACCTTCAGCAACACCATGTCCCTTATCACTGGGGATTTCTCTTCAAGCTGGTCTTTCTAAAGATAACACCCAAGTTATTCTGCGTGAACTTTATGAGGCGGACTCTTTCCTAAAGCAGCTGGGACTCCCACCTCTTTCGGAAGACACATCTTTATTGCCTCCTACCCCATCTCGTCTTCCGCCACCCCCAACGAGATTTGGACACCAGTTCGCGGGGGCCGGAAGAAACTTTCCCGCACCCCACAATGTCCACGTCCTCCTCAATCAAGTGATGTGCCTACCTGATGTCATTCTGGGGTGACCTCCCATGGATACTCCAGAACTGTTCCTCCCCCCGTTATTACATAGCTTTTTCTTCATCTGGCCGAGCCCTCATTGGGTGCATTTATCTTTTTTGTTTTTTTTCTCTGGCTGTTCAGATGTGTCAGTTGTCATGTTGCAAGTATATATCCTTACGGATATCTGTGTCTCCCGCTGTAATTTCTATGGTTTATATTTTATGTGTTATATCAGTGTTATATATTTTTTGCTTTGTTTCATCGATGGTATCTCATTTATCTTTTCTGCTGGTACACATGCTATACCCATTATTATTTTATGATGGCCTTACGGTTTTTGTCATATAATGTCAAGGTCCTTAATTCCATCCTAAAACGGTGGATGGCTTTGAAGGAATTTTGATCCTCAGGAGCAGACATCATTTTTGTCCAGGAGGTCCATTTTACGACTGGCTCCTTTCGTTTTGCCTCAAGGTTTTTTTCCCAATCCTACTCGGCTTTCGATCCTTCTGGGAAGGCTGGTGTGGCATTTCTGATTCGGATGCACTGCTCCCTTCGGGTCATTTTCCCCAAGGGCGACCAACAAGGTTGTTTCATTATTTTGGAATGTATGCTTGGTGACACTCCCCTTGTTTTATTGAATTTGTATGCTCCGAACACGGGTCAGATGCAGTTTCTCTCCCAAACACTTGCCAAATTAGGTTCCTTTTCTACTCCACATGTGAATATTGGGGGTGATTTTAATTTACTCATTTCACCCCATAAAGACAGGAAGGTTCTCTTCGAGTCCACTCCTTCAAAGCGGCAATGCTCCTCTTCAAAATCTTTTTGCAAATTGATAAGGGAGCATCGTCTCTTTGACCCCTGGTGGATTAGAAACCCACTCCAGAAAGAGTGTTCTTTCTACTCCACTCCTCATCGTAGCTTTTCTCGCCTGGATCATTTCTTCATCTCCGCCCCATTGCTCCCTCTCTTGTTCTCATCTGAAATCAATCCTATCACGTGGTCCAACCCCGCTTCCCTAATTTTTAACCTTTTTTTCCTTAATGTTATGCCGAAAGCATGCCACTGGTGCCTCAACGAGACCTTTCTAACTACAGACCATCTCCGAGACGAACTCTCTCAGGGCCTTGGTATGTACTTTCCTCAAAATTTTGGGTCAGTAACCTCTACTTCGACTCTGTGGGAAGCCCATAAGTTGGTATTTCGGGGACCTTGCATCTTGCAATTTTGGGATACCCACTCCCATTTTCTTCCTTGGACGCATCCACCTAATAAAAATGACTGTGCTGCCTAAACTCCTGTATTTATTCGCTACTCTCCTCGTTCCCGTTCCTATGTCCAAACTACACTCCCTCCAGAAATCCCTCTAACATTTAATTTGGCACAACAAGCGTCATAGAATTGCATGTGCTGTACTACTCTCCCTGCCTTCTAGGGGGGGGGCCTAGAGGCACCGGATATAGTGACCTACTATTATGCTACCCACCTTCGTTTTTTTATGTCATGGTCCACCCACTACCACATCATCTCTAATACATATAGACTCCTTATGGACACTTCCCCCCTATCTAATGACACTCATCATTAAATGCCCAAGTGGTCCCAGTTCTTACCGTGTGACATTGATCTGACAATGTGGAAAAAATAACGCACCTAGATCCTCTGTTTGCGTGGTTTATAAGGAAAATATATACAAAATTATGATGTTGTGGTACAAAACACCTGAAGTACTCCATGCCTGTAACCCCAATGCTTCTTCTGCCTGCTAGTGCTGTGGGAAGGACTTTGGCTCTCTCTACCATATTTTTTGGACATGTGGATCCATTACTCCTTTTTGGGAAGAGGTTTTGTCCCTATTACAATTGCTATTGCATACCTCTCTCCCTTTCGAGCCTTTATAATTTTTATTGAGCCTGCCATTTCCTGGCCTACCCTAATCATCCAGGAAACTCTCCACACATGTTCTGACTGCGGCCAGAAGAAGCATTCCTATGTGTTGGCTATCCTCCATACCTCCTTCGATGCCAACTTTGTTTAAAATTATTGCTGATGTAAAGTTGTATTGGGTCCTCTGTTCTTACCTTAACCTCTACAAAGACCTCTGTAACTCTGAAACCTTGGGTATACATGTCAATAGACACAGATTGATAACTTTTGGCTTTTGGCCAAGCTGCAGTTTCTAAAGCGAGCAAAATCCTCTCTGGTATTAAAAGAGGTATAGACTCCAGAGAGAGATATCATATTACCCCGGTACAAATCATTCGTGTTCTGCCCATATTGTTGAAAATAAATGTATGTAGTGGATTATATTGCAATGTTATGTTATGTTGCTGCAATCTAGTGGTCAGAGTTATTATTATGCCTAGTTATATCAGGATTTGTCAGGAAGTGGTAATTTTCACATAGAGGCAATAACCTCTAACCTGGAAGTTCCTGTCCTCCATTTCGTGACTGCTTCTGAAACTAGCAAGTAGCATACAGTAGAGCTCCAAGCTATTCCTGGACTTATGGTGGAATTGTCCGTGAGTACACTCACTGATGGGATGAAGCTGTTGTATAATGTTTAATGTACTGACACATATGTTTTGTTTGTACAGAGAAAGGCAACCAAACTGATATGAGGCATGGAGGAGCTCAGCTATGAGGAAAGATTAGAGGAATTGAATTTACTCTCTCTTGAGAAGAGGAGATTAAGGGGGGATATGATCACCATGTATAATACATCAGTGGTTCATATAGTGAACTTGGTGTAGAGTTATTCACCCTGAGGTCATCACAGTGGACAAAGGCGCACTCTTTACGTCTGTAGGAAAATAAATGTAACCTTCAAATATGGAAAGGCTTCTTCACAATAAGAGCTGTGAAAATGTGAAAAAGACCCCCATAAACTGGTTGTAAACCTCAGTCATGAAATCTGAACAAAGCACATATATCTGTAGTGTTTAGTTGTGTCTCTACAACGCTCCAAGTCTCATTTCTCTTTGATGCTTCTTTCTCTAAATACAGAAAGGTTTCTTTACAG